TTTTCTCCACGTTAAATGTTGAGTATCTATTTTCCATATTGTCTCGTGTCAGGGCCCGATATCACTACACTACTCTCCCACCAGATTCAACATGACGTTGGTTCGATACCAATTTGAGTGGGATTGTCGCTCGCTCGAGGCTACCAAGAATAATAAGAATCCTCCGGGTATTGATAAGTTGAAAGGTAAATCAAAAAGAGAGCGGCAGCAACTGGTCGGGAAATACAAGTAATAATTTTAAAATGTCTGTCTTAAGGCTTAACACACCTAAAATGTTGTTTTGGGTGAAGATTATTTGGGCTAAAAAATGCGATTATAATGATAATGAAATGATTACGTGTAGGAATGTTTTAATAAGTCACCGTAAGATGCGCAGTAATAGCCGTAGGTTAATAACATTTCTTGTTTAGAAATATTCAAATCAACCAATATAAGAGAAATGTCAAAATTGGTATTATATTCGGTCTAAATTATGAAATCAAATAACGTATGTGCCGGTAAGTTGTTCATGCGTTGATTTCTAATTGCATATGTATTGGTAGGCTAACTGAAAGAACAAAAGTATAACCGCGAAGAAGAATTCCAACTAGTGTTCCAGTTAGTTTAATACGGTTTATGTAGTTATGGGAAAATTTCCTCAACCTCGTTTTTACTTTACCGTGATAGAATTTAGTAATACTACTAATACACATGAATTGTTATCAAAAATTTTTAAATACGTGAAAAGTAATCATTACGTGGATTTCGGACAGATAGCTAGAAGCGATTTGTTAAACATGAGTGTATCCGTTAGAGATATGCTTTAGACTCAATGTTCTGATTTGCCATAGACTATTTATTTGTATTCATACCTATCGTCTGATGGTACACACAAGTTAGTTGCAAGTGTCAGTTTAGTATAAGACGGAATAATATTCGTTGAGATATAGTGATTATAAGTGATTGAAATCAGTTTGGCCTATGTGCCATATTTCTAGATGATGTGGTACTGCAAGATGTATCCGTCTAAGTAAGTTTTCACAAGTTGATTAACAGTGAGTGATGCTCATGTGATAACCATGGAGAGCATAAGTTGTAACCAAGGGGAGTACATTCCCAACTCACGTCTATGATAATGGCTTGAATCCTAGTTAGTGTTGGAGTAAGTTCGACATTGATGATTGCAGTTTGTAGGAGATTTGCTTGACTATCTGTACTGATGATTTGCGTAGATGATTGTGTCGCTAAACCTCCAATTAGACTGACAAGGTTTTGAAATATTTATTGAATAAGCAATTGATAAATATAATGAAAATCATATGTAATGGACGAAGATATCGAGAAATCAACACTATCTAATGGAAATAACAAGTGAGTTTGTTGACCGAATTTTTAATAGTTTCCAATTTTATCAATCATATTACGTGATTGTTAAGTCATGACAATGCTTTATGACGATATACTGAAACCATCATGTTTAAATACTTATAGTGTTGATTGAGGATTAACCAGTGGAAAAATAGGTAATGTTGCTTTAGGTGATTTGAGATTATCAGAAATTTGTAGCGTTAAAGAATCCGAGCTGTCTAATTAAATCATGAATTTCAATTCAAAAATATACGTCTAGGGTTAATTTTACTAATAGGTCCCGGAGTTTTAATTTTAAATGTTTGTTTAGCCAACAACTACCTTATAGTTTTCTTAATATACTAAGGCAGTATATTACAACTGAAATTTGTAACTTTGTTATCTAAACTATGTTCGTCTTTTTAGGTTACTAATATGGTAGATCAATTCATAAACCCAAATACATATAGCAGTAATGACTATGATGAGTTTATTGGAAATATAAAGGCGATTTGGACGATTTTTAAATTTAAAAGGCATAGAGATATAATGCAACGCATGTACGGGCCAGATTAACATGCAGGTTAGTGAGATATACGGCAAATTAAAAATAATAAACATGGCCAGAATGAAAAATATTTTTCTAAATTGAGACGACTTGTGGAATTTCAGTTAGGAACATGATGAGTTATAAACCTTACATAAGGCGTTGATGTAGTTAACCTAGTGATACTTACAAAATGTGGTAAAAGCAACTGGGAAATATATGCATGCTAGGTACAAAAAAAGTCCAGTAAAATAATTAAACTCGCCTGGATTATTTTTGAAAGTTGGATTATTCAGTATGCGACATATGCAACGCCATTCGTGAGTAGTATTGATCAAAAGCATCCAAAATAAAACACGCAGTATGGCAGCAAATTCCAGGGTGCTTGGTACCGCTGACGTTTTTGTCACTCGCTCAAACCAGAACAATTGAATGAATCCAGATAATTGTGTGGTTGCCATTGAACGAGCCATCTAAAATGACCTTATGATTGAAGAAAACTTCTAGCTGAAACTCACCGTATGTTTTTGTAGTAGTGACATCCTTGTTGTTTGGCGATGGAACTCGAGAATCGGAAATTAGGCAGGCAGTGGTCGGAAGAAAAAAATATGACAGGATAGTGCATAGTTTAAGATAGATTAAGGAGTTAAGTGAAGAAACAACATGAAGAATTAGATCCAGATAACCGTTTAGTCCTTGCTCACGTTGCTAATCAATGTATATTTGCGTTATTTACAGGTCATATTTGCTAAAGCTTGATGTTTAAACAAGTTTATTTCGCTGTAACATGTAAATGCTATTAAAGCTTGCTAATGAACCACCAATGCTAATAATTAATGTCGATGACCACTTCTTATTATCGAGTGAGTAATAATCAATATAGTGTTACGATAATACATATGAGCATAAATCAGAGGACTATTAGAATAATGGGTTTACATTAGTAAAAATCGATCGAGAAATACGGATTAACAATAAGAGGTTTCGTTTCTTTAGTCGGGCTCACCAATGTAGAATTATGGTCTACTGTGATATTAGCACTGATCTAATAATAGACCTAATCCTAAAATTGTAGATTTGTTATGATGTAACTGCCTAATCTATAAAATCTTACATGGAAGTCACATCATCATCTAAACCAACTCACTGCATCATAACAATTACCAATACATGATAGAGAACAATGTTAGGCTAGAGATGGGACAATATATTTAATATGAATAGAAGATATAAGGTAACATTTAGCAGGGACCACGCCTGCATGGCCTATCCATGCCACACGATCAACTCCAATTATTTCAATTCCTTGTTTCCGCCTTATCCATCGTTGGGTTTTTCTCCACGTTAAATGTTGAGTATCTATTTTCCATATTGTCTCGTGTTAGGGCCCTATGCCACTACAATTCTACTTATTTTCTTGATTTGATATTGTGGATTTCGTCTTCCTACTCTTCCTTACCAGAGCTGTAGACTTTTTGTATGTCTGCAAAATGAACTCGAGCTTTTCCGAGTCATCTTGTGTAATACAATTTCAGTGTATCAAAATCACAAGTACACAACCAACGTTCAACATATCTTAGCAGATTGATTTTCAATCCAAATGGTAGTAAATACCACAGCTGGAAAACGTAGGTTGGACACTCGTGCACGTTCATAGGACACTTATAATGTTCCTTAGTAAATCCGGTACAAGATCTCGAAAAGCATCCACAATGAGATTAGCATCTCCGATGGTCTGACAGCTGTTTGCCATCAAATTCATTAATGCCATGCTGATCTTTTTTTCTGGTTTGCGGACTTATTTTGACACGCATCATTGCCGAATTCAATTGCCGTTGCAGTATTTTCATCAGGAAGTTGACTAAACGAAGACAAGTTATGTTTTTTTATGAATGTTTTTCGCACTTTATTCAACCTACGGTTATATGTCGATTTACGACAACCAAAGACGTATGCGAACAGTTACTGACTTTCGCTAAGTTCAACTCATAGGAAAAATGAAGTCATTAGTGATAATAATAACAATAATAAGCAATCACTCTGCGATATATTAATAGCCTATCGAATACATCTTAAAACCTCTTCGCTTTTGACTTCTGATTTCACCGGTTTGACACGTTTAGATTACGGAAGGTGTTACTGGTTAAGGTGCTATCAAACCCTAAGTATTTGTATCATCTTCATACATCTCAGGCAAATTTCTGTCTATATATTTGGACATGTGTATATGATAATTTTCCTTTTATGTTATCAAACAAGACTTTTTTTTGAGAGATTGATGGAAATGCAAGTACCGTCAGTAGCGTTTTTGATTGGAGTGCTTATGTCTACAAATTTCCCTCCAAAACCCAGCGGTAGGGGGTGGGGGAATTGGACATGTCAAGGAGAATAATTGATCTTTGCCCTTTTTTTTATTCTGTCATCCCCGTTTTCCTCTTTGTTCGACTTTATCGCCCCTCTGTTTGTTGCTGGGGTTATTGAAAAAACGTGTCGTTTCCAACAAAATTAGTCACTATACAGGCTTAAATCTCTATCAAGTTATTAACTCCAGCTCGAAGACACCAAACCAGACCAAATTTAACATTCGTAACTTTATATAATGGATTAATCTTAAACAACCATTGCAAACCAAGAATCTATGGCAATCTTTACGTATATTTGTGAGCAGTGCAAGGGTCGAAGTTTAAAAATTAGATCAGACGGAGTGCAGTTTCATATACAGTCACCAATTCGAAGAAATTCCAGAGAAGAACCCTTTTGATGAAATCAGGAAAAAATAACTAGATACCACGCGGCCAACTGTGATAAGTTTGGTGGTTTTTCATCCTCTTCATACAAGGCTGGGTATAAGGTTGTAACTAAAGGCTTCATGTACCATGACACAACCATATGGAATGAGGGGTTTTTGTATTCTCTCACAATTCATGACTGTCCAAGCACGAATTTCTATAGATTTGCACGAAAACAAAGCGACATGATTTTTAAGCAAACATTGATTTTCAGAATCTATTTCCTTATAAAGTAACCCTATTTCGAAATGTACTTGTTTGAATTGATAATAAGTTTTTAAAATCAGGCGTTATCCTTTTTGTGATTGGCTGCTGGGATCGGTGCTGACTCATCGCTTGCTTCAGAGTACATACGACTTGTCCTTGCGCACACAAAGCGCTTCCTTTGTGTCCTGAGGCGATCAGGGGTATTTCTGATCTTCGATGACACGTGATTACCAATGCCAGATAACAAATGTGACGAATCATTTGCCCAAAATAACAGTGATACTGTGAAGTCAACTCGTCCTTTGCATGTGATTACACAATATGCGAGAGCGGATGTTTCTGAAATGCATTCACCTGGCAGACCAACCAGTTTAGGACTATGTTTAACAAACGCTTCAAATCTGACAGATCTCAAGAGCTGTTCCTTATCGCTTCGTAATGTTGTATCTCAAGAAGTTTGTTACCAGCCATGGACCGTCCGAGCTGTAGACACATCAGAGTTTGAGAAGCTCCTAGGACATCTTGGCAACAATGGTTCTACACCAGTGACTCCAACTAGTTTTTTAAACCCAAACAATATAACAGAGGATCAGGAGTTGTTTGCAGAGTAAGTTATGAATTCAGGTTGGGCTAGAAATATCCGTACTTGTAATTATTTTCTGAAACAAACGTCATCCCACTTTAGCCTACTCGGGAATTCATATCATTTCTTCAGTCACCAATTAAAAAGGAACGCGAGTTTCGCACTGACTATTGTAGTATTACCCTGGCATCTTAGGCTGTGTGGATCGATCTGATCACAGTAGGACATACCCGTTTCTTATATTTCTCCGAATTTCGAGCTCAATTTTATCGTATACTTTTCGTTCCATACAAGCTTCTTTCGACCTATTGCTGTCTAGTAAAAAGGGTCAACCTGCTGTGCTAGACTTTTGTCTTGTAGGTATTTTCCTTAAAGTCACAAAAGATTGGTGTTTATATTGTTGCTAGCCATCATAAAACCACCCTTAATTGTCCTACACTCTTATAGGTATAAATGGGTGGATTTGTCTTTTTTATCAATAACAACTTGATGCTACAAATAGGTTTTGTGGTTCGTCTAGGGTACATTTAAAGGTGCGTCTATTCTTTTGGAGTAACAAAAAACGTTTTCACGCTTCAAACGAAGTTAAGTAGTTACTAAAAGTCCGGATGGACATTCATACCATTGAATTGACTAGAGTACATCTCAGAGTCACCGTGTAATATTTAGATAGTAAGGAATCAAGGGATCCAAATTTCTTTACCACTGACTCTTACGACTAAGATTTACTTAATCTGTTTAGCTAGCATCATTTCGCGAATAAATTACATCTTTGTTAAAATGTGTTTCTTATGGTCGTTATTTAACTTGCAAACATTCCTATATTAGCATTTGCTCATCGAACTAGTAGTAAGTAGCTTGAAATAACATCTCTTTAATGTCATACATGGCACTGTTTTTTTCTGTGAGAAGTCTACTATTATAACTAACGTGTTCAACACTAGGTCAATGAAATTTTTTAAAGCTGGTTTCAGTCCGTCTTTAACTAGCCCTGTATTCTTAGAGGAATTAAGGCGTTCACAGTTCAGTCAAACTCATTTATTGTGAAAGTGAATAGTTTACTTATGATCTGATAACTCTCCATAACTTGTGTTTTGTGCGATTTCGTATCATACAGAGTAGCAACTTATCCACCCTAATTTGTGAAATTATGTTGTCTTTGTTGAAGTACAACCAGATTCTTTCCACTTTGGAGAGAAAATGAATAACGGTAAAAGTCAGATCCACCACGTCAAGTAATCAACTATCGTTCAGTCATCGTAATTGATGGCTTAAAATGATGTTCACCAGGTTTTTCCACTTTTTTGTCATAGAGATGACACTCAGTAACTCCTCAAGTAGTTTTAAGAAGATTAGTTAAACTTCACCTGTTTTAAAAATTTCATCAGCTCTGTTGCTTTGGTGTTCGTTCTCTTTCCCGACCGTCGTTGCGACCTTGACGTGGTGGTCGGGCTTGCCTATGGTGATGAAGCAACTAAACTATACTGGCTGGAACAACCGTTCCTCGAGGTCCTACCATGCCAGACAGGTCGGTTGAAGAGCGGTAAGACTAAAAGCAACAAATCCAAGGTCCGAAGGCGAATTCGTACTGCTGACTGTACAGAGGTGTGACAGCAGTAATGTTTCCTTTAAACAACCAGCATAACAGTGATGCTGCCTTCCCACAAGGAGGGGTGGGGTTAGAAAAGGTCGACCCTAAAAATACACACTTCGCTTTATCACACGAATATCCATCTCCGGCGGTAAGGTCTCAACAAGTACGGAGCTAACACAGAAATTACTCATTAAAAGGTTGTATGTGACCGACCTCAAGCAGCTGTCCCTTGGGAACTGCGGTCACGCTCTCAGGTCACTATGACCAGCTCTAATCCGATTTCCTTTTCAGGTACCTCCAGAAGAACCCTTCCACAGTGTGTGCAACCGGAAAGTGATAACCGCCCTCATAACTCTAACAGCACTCAAGACTGGTCACAATCGCTTATCGTCCCAATGTATAAGAAAGGGTCAAAATCATCCTGTGACAACCATAAAGGGATTAGCTTAACTAATATAGCATCTAAAATACTAGCCTCGATAATTATCGGACGCCTAACTAAGACTCGTGAACTGCAAACACGAGAGATTCAAGCTGGCTTCAGACCTGGTCGTGGATGCATAGACCACATATTCACCATTCGTCAGGTTCTAGAATACAGGCATACTTATCGGTGTCCGACAATGGTGGTCTTTCTTGACCTAAAAGCAGCGTTTGACTCTGTTGACCGAGAGGTTCTGTGGCAGTGTCTGTCATTGAAAGGCGTACCTCAGAAGTACATAAACCTCGTGAAGGCTCTTTACTCGAACACTACTAGTCGAGACAGAGCTTATGGCGAACTGTCATCTGCTTTTGCAACCTCAAGTGGTGTCCGTCAAGGCTGTCCACTTTCTCCATTTTTGTTTAACTTCATCATAGACCTCCTGATGGAAATAACGCTCTCATCGACTGAATTCTCAGGTATCGATCTCCTACCAGGAGGTCCACTTATCGACTTAGAATACTCAGATGATATAGTCCTGTTTGGTGAAGATGCTGATATAATGCAGAGTCTTTTGGTAGCACTGGGATGCACTTCTCTGCCTCTAAATGCAAGTTGTTGCTTCAGGACTGGTCTGCGTCAACACCTGAACTAAGGATAGGGAGTGAAGTAGTCGAACGCGTTGACAACTTCACTTATCTTGGAAGTCTGATCAGCCCTAATGGGTTGGTTTCTGACAAAATCTCAGCACGGATTCGAAAAGCTCGTTTGGCTTTTGCCAACTTACGTCACCTATGGCGAAGGCTAGATATCCGTCTATCAATATAAGGACGAGTATATCGCGCGGCAGTTCGTTCCGTTCTACTATACGGCTGCGAAACATGGCCTTTAAGAGTAGAAGATACTCGTAAGCTACAAGTATTTGACCACAGACGCCTTAGAAATATTGCTGGTATCTACTGGGATCACCGGGTAAGTAATAGTGAAGTTAGACGCAGGGTATTATGGAATGATGGTAATTCAGTTGATGAAGTTGTGAATCTTCATTGACTGAGATGGTTGGGCCATGTGTTGCGTATGCCTGAACACTGATTACCATGACGTGCAATGCTGACCGATGTTGGGGATGATCGGAAGAAAGTTAGGGACGGCCAAACCAAAACGTGGCATCAGTGCTTGAAGTCACTAACTTCTGGTCTGAGCCATGTTGGTAGATGCAGACTGCCTGGTTGGAGTCCGCGTGACTATCGTAACCAATGGTTGGAGACTCTTGGTGACATGGCTCAGAATCGATCACAATGGCGTCGGTGTATACATTCTCTGTCTTCTTTTAAACTAAGATTAAAATCAATTCAAATCTTTCTTTCTACAAACTAATTCTTTATTCCTGTACTATCTCCTTATATGCAATCTTTCTTCTATATATTACCACCACTGAATGAACTACTATGAATCCGGTGTCCATCTTGTTGTGCTAATGAGATGTGGCATCTTGGACCGATGCATATATGTGCCTGGTCCTACGTTGCAGCTGACTGACTGTTGCTTTAGTGTCTCACGAAATTTCGGCACGGACCCGATAAAGCTCAGTTGACTTTTGACTACCGACTAACCATTACTGTGGTTCTTATTTATTATTTTATTTGAACACATAGATATTGGTACAAGGAGGCACTAAATACATATGCGCCACACAGATCTCACTTGATAAGTGTGAGGGCTGTGATACTGCCTGGGTGCCCAAACTGTGGTTAGGCAAAGATAAGGTACTAGGTAAGGATGGCAGATCGATTAGTGCTGTAGTGAATCAACTGAGGTGTTTAGGTCATGTACTGTGTATCTTCAACGACCTCTTACCTCGACGGGCGATGCCCAAATGCCCTGGTATGGCTGAGAGTGGGGTGGGTTCGCCCTCCCTCTCGAAATACTCTCACACGGCCACCCGTATACAGCCTCTGTCAGGGAAGTCCTACTCATTGCCTTCTCGTGAAGGGGGTGTTGTTTACAAAAATGAGAAGACGAAAAGCGAATGTCCGGCGCTATAACCGGATCCCAAATCAATGGTGCACATGGGCTCCAATATCCTGCAGGAACAAATGGCGTATAAACCAACTTCTTGGTCACCGGCTTCCATGGGACTGCATCTCCTCACGATGCTCCACTGTCTTGTGGACTAGACCTTCAGGTCAAAGGCTTGGGGTGTGGCCCCTTAAGAAAACCACTTGCTTCGGTCTGGGCACCCGGGCAGTATCCCAGCCCACGCACTAAAACACGATGAACTATTTACTTATGGGAAATATTCCTTTCGCTCCGATTAACAATGAAATGACTCGCACTATTATTATTATTATTTACTACGTCATTTATTCACTCTCTCTTATTCCCACTTTATGTATCCTTTTCCACTTAGACAGCAGCTCGCCTATGGTGGAAATTCGGCTCTATCTAAACGTTCTCGAGTCACTGCCTGGTTGAAAATTGTATGTTACCACCGAATACGAGTACTGAAGCAGTTTTTCTAAAACCACTTGCACTATTCAAACTGGCTGCCTTCAACGTTCGCACACTTATGCAGGTCGGACAACAGATAGGGCTGGCTATGTCTTTGGAAAGTCTTAATATTGACGTTTGTTGTCTATCCGAGACCCGTATTCAAGACTCTGGTGAAGTACTACAATTTCGCTCATCATCTGTCGCTTCAAAAAGCTTGTTTTATGTGCGTTTATCCGGGGACCCTGTGGCATCTTCGTCTGGTCTTGCTGGCGTTGGTGTCGCACTAAGCGCTAGAGCTGAGGCAGCACTAATCGACTGGATCCCTATTAACAGTCGGTTATGTGATGTTAGATTAGAAAGTTCCATCAAAGTGAGAAGAAATCGGCGTGAGAAACGATGTCTTTTCGTCATCTCCACCTATGCCCCGACAGATTGCAGCCCGGATGCAATCAAGGATGAGTTCTACCACCAGTTAACTGTTCTCCAGAAAGTGCGTTCAACAAATATTGTAGTACTAGCCGGAGACTTGAATGCTCAGGTCGGGCGTCTAGGCACAGAAGAGAGTCGTTTAGGTGGCCGATGGGGACTTGTTGGTCGCAGGACAGATAACAGGGAACGTCTACTGCAACTATGCACAGACCACAACCTGTTTCTGGCTAGCACTAACTTTCGGCACAGTCATCGCCGATGTGCCACCTGGCGTCCCCCTTCTGCATCCCAAGCCGGGACTCAGATTGATCACATCGCGATCAGCTACCGCTGGCGTGGTCGTGTACAAGACTGCCGCTCCTTTTGGAGTACCTATCTGAAATCTGGTCATGCCCTGGTCTGCGCCAATCTTACCTTATTTTTCAGTGGACAACGAAGTGACCGCCACCAAAGGATTGACGTTAGCAAGCTGGTTGCAACTTCTGTTGCTAGTAAGTATCGAACCGAGCTAGCTTCTAGGCTAGCTATTATTCCACCGAAAAGTATAGATGAGCATTGGTTGCAATTGCATGACGCCATGAAAATGGCGGGTACAGTCTGTTGTGGGTTCGCGAAACGTCCCGCTTATAAGCCACTGGGTTTCTTCTGGTTCCTTACAATTGATTGAAGCCCGTCGGTCTACTCCGGGTGACCGTGAGTTTGACCACAGACGAAGGATGTTACGTAATGAAATCGGGCAAAGCTTGCGTAAGGACCGATAAGCCTGGTGGTCGGAGCGTGCTAACGAGCTGGAAGCAGCAGCTGCATCTGGTAATTACTGCAAGCTCTTGCAACTCATCCGAGCCACTGGCAGCAAGAAGTCTGGTGTGAGCGAAACAATCTGTGAGGATGACGGGATGCCAATCACTAACATCCATCGACGTCTTAGACGATTGGCAGAATTTTTCGAAGGGCAGTTCAACTGGCCTGCTGCTCCGGCAACATCGGTCATACTGTCCTGTCGGCAAGGAACTCCAACTCTTGAAACGCTTCAAATCACCGGGCCCAGACGACTTATCTCCAGCTCTTTTTAAAGATGGTGATGACTTTCTGACTAAGGGACTGACGACGTTGTTTACAAAGATCTGGGAACTAGAGAGTGTACCAACGTCATGGAATGAGTCGATAGTTGTCCCTATCTTTAAAAAGGGTTCACGTCGTTCCTGTAACAACTATCGGGGAATAAGTCTACTTCCGATTGCGTCCAAGCTATTGGCTTCCGTTATACTTCGTAGGTTGTTCAAAACCCGAGAAGGATTGACTCGCGAGGAGCAGGCTGGTTTTCGTTCCGGTCGAGGATGTATTGATCATATCTTCACCCTCCGCCAAATGTTAGAACACCGTCATACTTATCAAAGGCCAACAATCGTAGTGTTTCTTGATATCAGGACTGCCTTCGATTCGTTGGACAGAACTGTTCTCTGGGATTGTCTATTGAAGAATGGTGTGCCTGAAAAGTTTATTAACATCCTAAAAGCCCTATATACAAACACCTCAGGCATAGTGAGGGCACACAACCACCTTTCTCCGTTGTTCCATTCCAGCAGTGGGGTTAGGCAGGGTTGCCCAATCTCACCATTCCTCTTCAACTTTGCCATCGATGACATTCTGGAAACAGCTCTGATGAATGTAGGTAATGACGGTGTGGATCTGTTGCCTGGAGAAAGACTTCTCGACCTTGAGTATGCTGATGATATTGTCTTACTGTGCGAGAATGTTCAAGCCATGCAATCCGCATTTAATCAGTGCGCTATGCTTGTGAAACCTCGACTCTACGGGCTGAGGATGTTAGACGACTCTGTTCGATCATCGTTGTCTCCGAAGGGTTGTTGACATCCAGTGGCAACACCATGTTAGTAATGCAGAGGTTCGGCATCGTGTGTTCGGGCACAGAGCCGATAATACAATTGGTGTCACCATCTTGAAACACCGACTTCGGTGGCTTGGACATGTTCTACGAATGTCGTCCCAGAGAATTCCCCGTCGTGCATTATTTGCCGACGCTGGGACAGGTTGGAAAAAGCGGAGAGGTGGTCAGTGTATGACATGGTGTCGTGATATGAAAGAAAGCTGCAAAGGGCTGGCTTGTGTTGGTCCTTCACGACTCCCTGGCTGGAGTCCGAGAGATGTAACACAGTGGCTAGAAACGTTATCAGATATGGCTCAGAATAAAAGCCAGTGGCGATCCTGCTGTAACCTTCTTTTACTTTCTTCGTAAAGAGTGGTTGCTTCTTCCTTAACTGAAAGATTTCTTCCGATTGTACCTTATGTTTCCCCCATTATTGTTCTCTCTCTTTTTTTATAACTCCCTACGTTCATTACTTTTTTCCCTTCTCTTTAAATTCTCATTGTTTTGTGTGGCGCATATATATTTGGTGCCCCCTTGTACCAATATTTATGTGTTCAAATAAATAAATTGGTCGAACTCATAGAAGGGTTTAGGCCTTTCAGTTTATTTTAGCTAGTCAGTATGCTTAATTACTTATGTTATACATTCACCATCTGGACATTTATATACTCGAGTATGAACCATAGTTTTAGTAGGGTACAGTAATACTCCCTGGCTATCCCGACGGAAGTACCTGGACTGTGATTCAGGCAAACAACCTATTGGTTAGGGGTTTAGCTCATCTACCACACAAGTCTGATTAAAAGCCAAATACAAGGACTTATTCTAGGTTACTGGCTTGTTTTCGCTGTCTTAGATTTCATTCATTTGATATAAGTCACAAAATTGTTGATAAATGTACAATCTGGTTTGGTTTTGATACACAGCTTAACACTCGACTAAATTTTATTTTCTTTCATCTGCTTTCTGGTGATGTACAGTTTTTTTATCAAGATGAATTTAGGTCTCATTATTTGCTTTTCAGTTTTTAAATAATGTCAAAACATCATCGAGCCAAATCAAGCAATACCAGCATTTACAACATAAATTACTACATTTATCCAGCTAGTATATTAATGCTCAAAGTTACCGGTTAATGTATTTTACTTATTCTTCTAGCAATTTTTCTCGAACTTTGAACAAAGTTAAAGCTGAACAAGAGGGATGGACACTAATTCCAAATTCGTCATCTTTCGATAGTGTTATTACTGAATCAACTAGTTCTTCCTTTGAAAAGCAAGTCCAGTCAAACCGAAATGTTTCCATGTCTTTTATGGAGAGTTACACTACCGGTGCCGAAACTTTAAATTCCATAAAGTCAGAAAGCGATCAAATAAACCCATCCGTACACGTTTCCGATCCAACGAAAATAAATTCACCAAATTTAACCGATGAACCACTGGTATTACTAAGCGGTACGTCTAATGAAAATCATACGGGAGCCCAATCCAGTGTAAATTCAATACGAAAACATATCGCAAGTTCCAAATGCAATTCGTAAGTTGGGAGTGTATATCTATGTCATCGCTTTTGTTGTTATCCAGCTTTTTATGGAATATATAGAAACATGACTTGTGCTCTTTATTGAATACGATCCGAGCGTTCCTCAATGTTGATATAAGATCACAATCCAAATAACGCTGAATTTTAAAGGAAAATCAGGTCGATATATCATCCGACTTTTTCCTTGATCTCTTTTCGATAATGAACCTCCACATTTCACTAATCACATTATTGTTAAAACACTAGGGTTTTTGAAAGAACTGTTTCCCAATCAACAAAAGCGCCAAAGTTGATGAACCTCTTCTCATTATTTAGATACTTTAGAGACTAAATTTATTATGTCCTTGAAACGTAATAATAATTGGGAACTTTTTCACAATATCATAGCTCTATGGATTTAATGGAACGATATCTACTGCGTACCGACTGACCTGGTCAGTCAATAGTATCAATTTCCCCCACGCACGAATACCATACGTACTTTTCAGTTGTAAAATAAGACAAAGAAGAGCAGCTTGAAACCACTTATTCTTTAATTGCCCCTCAACAGACGAGAAATATATACGAACTAAAACATCAATTGATTCGCTTGCAAACGTGTGAACTATCGCTTTTGGAAATCAGTAACCAAGTTCAAATTTCAGTAGGTGTAACAGTAGAACGGTGGTTTGTAGTTAAGGGACTCAACATCTAGCCAACAAACCCCAGTTTCAGACCCCATCCATTTAGTTCATATTCGAACATCTGTTGAATGAGTTAATCTTAGTTTTAATTACCAAATTTCAAGATGTAGTAGGGTTAAAAACCTGAAAAATTGCTTCGGAAATAAGTAAAAGATAATATCTGTTTGAGCGTGCGATGGTGGGGAGCAGTTGCTGATAACCTCGTACGGGGATCAAAGTACAGAGGAAAACTTACAAATCTGCTATTTTCAACTTATCATTCATACAACCATAGCTCAAATTTGACATAAATAACATTTATAACAATCTTAGGCCTCTGTCAAGGATCTTCAAGTATAACAGTTTAAAATCACTAAGCGAAAGTATTCGCTGAGTGTCTGTCTAAAACTCATGTGAATCTCTGTCGGTTCCAAGGTTAGCCCAGTTATATTAATAAAATCTTTGTGTCCTTAAAATCTCTAAAATTAGGGGTATTTTTCCCATCGTCCTTTCTGTATACTCTACAACCAAACCACAGCATTTAACGTGAATAAGAATAGTTCGTATTAGTGGTTCACTTTAGAAAGAATGTAAAGTAACTTTACCAGGTTAATACAAGATCTGTGCAATCGTATAAGAGTTAATGTGAGAGATTTTGACTTTGTTAGCTATAAGCGGTGTTCTCTAGAAATATTTACTTTAACTATATCTCGTCAGTCAGTATGATGGTTTTGATAGAGGCAGTAATATCTGTTTTTTATTGTTACGGGTTTCATGACATGAAGATGAAAAATGCGTTATTTAATCAGTTCTTACACTTTATCTGTATATGAATTTCATATGCAAAACAGCATTATTGACAAAAGTACTGATACATATCTTACTAAAGTTTGCGCAGTTAAGTTTATGGTATTGTGGCTACTTACTGGTTTAAATTTTTGTGAATGTTGGTTTAAGCTATCAGTCTATTTCATTTATGTTACGTTAAAAAAAATAGAGCTGGGTTTATTGTTTTTCTGATGCAATTTTCAAAATTAATTACCTTATCGCGATTAATTTTTATACATAGATCATCGTTGTCTCATTTGATTGCCTCACGCATAGACCTGTACTATTCGAAAAGGAATTCCGTTTAGTGTCGGAAAACGATTACTGTTTATATCGTGTTTTATTCGTGTTCTCAACATTATCGTTAGTAAACAGAGAAAATATTAATAATTCTAGAAAACAGTTGAAGAAAAATAGATAAAAATGTTTAATCTGCTGGCTAACTTAACTCATTTACTCTGAGAGTGATTTCGATCACGAGGATTTTTTAAAAATTGTCACATGTGTTTGTGTGCATTTATTGAATTTGGCTGCTTTTTAAGTAACCAGAAAAAAATAACCAATACAGAAAATTGTCGTTTTAATGATTTTTTGTTACAATCTGTTTACCATAATTTAGTCACTTAACTGTTCATATTGGCATCATAAGTAGCCTATTGTTGTTATTATAGAAAAGATTTTCAATTTTGTTTTTGAATAACAGTCTTAATAAGCGGTTTTTAAAAAAGAAGAGTTATGTATTAAAGTATTTTCTCAAATTGTAATGATCGCTAACAAATTTTGTGTGTTCATTGATTAAGTGGTAAAATGTATCTGTTTTAACCACCAAATAACATTTTATGCTTGTGTTTATTGAATAGTGATTTGTTGGTTAGTATGCTTCTTTGTGAGGCAAGAAATGCCAACTAGGTACACAATAATGTTATGTACCACTTGATAGGGTTTTACATTAAATCTTAAGGAATAATTTAGTCACTAATCCAAACCCTATTCCAAGTGTTATTCCACTCATGTATATTATTGCACAACTGACTGATAATAACGTTATTTACTAAATAATAATTTCATACACTAGAATGGTACCATTGTCACAGGTGTCTGAGAAAAGAGCCAATACACTTAGTAAGGCTTGTCGATGTACAGATCTACCAAACTATCTAAATGCTAAATTATTGGAAAAGTCTGCTAACACCTTGCTAATCCCACTACATGAATGCCTCAGTGGACGTAAAGCATATATATCGGCCCAATGTTGTTTTGGAACGCTATTGCTTTTATTCGGCATTATTCAATTTTACTTTCTCCCTTTAACTCTTATCGTCGGAATTCAACAGATGATTCTGAAAAAAGTGTATTGGTTAACGACATCAAGCTTACAGATTATCCAATCTTATTTTTAATAAAACGCAATTCAGTGTCAAAGTTATTTACTGGTTGTCGAAATCAATATGTATATTTTGGTGAACCTATCTCTTAAGTCAAAATAGTGATGTCATAGAAGTCTATCGACTCTTCTGTGTATCTCTGTAACTCCATAACTACCAGTTGAATCAAATTGGTTAGATTAGACTTGACATAGCACAACCACATCATCGTAGCTGTGAACATGAGGTTGGGAATTCCTGATTGTGTTTTGCTTTCATTCTCTACTGCTCCATCATTTTGGAGAGAATTTGGTCCCAACGACGTGTTCGCATAGTGAGGTATATTTTCCTATGAGTTCATCTTATAATTTAGTCTTGTATCATCACTGTCTTGGATATATATATGAAAACGATGTTTATACTATACATTACTTTCAACTCAATATCCTACAGGAAAAATCTCAACAACAACCAATTTATGAGATATGTCTGAATAAAAGTTATTTGAATAAGGTTGTAGTGCGTGTTCCATCTCCGTTAATAATCACAGCTTATGTTAGCCTAATGGTCTTATTTTTATTTCTTTTCATCCGAAATTAATCGTTCAAGCAAAATAATTAAAATCTTTAATGATTTTTTCTGTCTTTTCCTATGTAAATCCACCATAATTTTATATCGTTTGATATGATACCATTGTGTATTGTTTTTCTTTCAATAGTAATAAACTACTTACGTATATTCAATCTTTATCAGTTTCAGGATTGAGTATACAATATCATTTCCATTCATTATAATCCAGTTGAATAGTAGCCTTATCTTACTACAGTAAATAATCGTATACAGTAATCATATTTGATAATCGGCTGTAAACAATGTTGAACAAATAAGACTTAAGTAAGTTCTCTTAAGTATAGTTTATCATCTTAGTACAATATCTCTCAGAATAAATATGACTTACTTGATTGTGGTTACAATGTGTGTGTCTGGTTAACTAGTAACTCAGTTCCAATGTATGATTTTCTTAAAATGTCTCTTTAGCTCAACCTCTGATCCATTCCAAGAAAATTTTTATTCCAATATCCTATCAACTTCTAATTCAAATCCTAATAATATCCATAGGACAAATACAGAAATCCATTGGGTAGCTAGTCTACCTACTATTTCATCCATTGCTAATGGGTTAAAACAAGCTGTTGCAGATCGTAGTTGCGGTTCTACAGATTTCTGTTCAAATTTAGACTCACTTTCTTCAGAATCACGCTTTACAAATTCAGTTTATCCTCACGATAGTATGGGATCTCACAGAATATCAGGAAATGTTTTGACATCAACTGAAAATATTTTATGTAATAACGACCCAGTTCATTGTAGATTAGCACAGAAATTACCAATTTTAACCCCGTGTAATTCTGAACAACAGGCTTCTGATATTCTTGTTCATTATGCTATTCAAGAGAATCACAATACTGTTCAGATGAACGGTTCATGCAGTGAAGCTATTGGTGATGACTTGGTAGCATCATCATCTAGTTCAAGATTGTGTACCAATGATTCATCTGATTTTGGGATAAGAAATGCTCTCAATGAACTATATTCTTCTGCTCGTCCAACTCTACCTAATGTTGGGGAATGTAGAATTTTAACTCCTGTTTTATCATCAATTCCTGAATCAACATCAACTGATGGTAATCCATGTAATGAAAGTACACAAAAGACTCCTGCTCATATTTATGTTAGCTGTCAGTCGGCTACACCTCGAGATAGTTCAAATCACCTGTTAGATAATCATTTGAACCCAACTTCGATCGCTAGTCAGTCACCTGGCTCTTCAGGTATTCATAACAGTGACAGCATGCTAAACAGAAATGATATCTGTCTTTCGCGTCCACCGGAGTCTGTAAGTTGCTTTTCACTATTAAAATTTAATTTACTTTTGAAACCACATACTCAGTACCTTAGTAAAACGATAATTAGACATTACTATTGAATTTATATTTAGTGAGCTTCACTGCAAGTTTCCTCGTATATTGGTTCGATAACATTTATAACCTATGTTGATAGTTTTGTTAAATTATTTTGATTTGAGAAATTGGGTTTTGACAGACTTCATATTTATTCATGTCTTATGTAAATATGTGCACAGTAATTGTTATTATGACTGACATATTTTATTGTCAACACCTAAATTCAAAATATGTTGACCAACACACTGATCTTTTCACCTTCATTTTTGATAATCCGTAGTTTTAAGCAAAATTAGTCATGTTTCAAAATACAGTGCTTGATATGAAAGCTTGCTAATGGTGAACAGGATACACTTGTTGCGAACACTCGGGATAAATCAGGATCCAAATATCCTGATGATGACCTCATATATGTGTGCTTATTATTGATTTCAAAAGTCAACCAAGCGCTCCGTGACTGAGTTTAAACAAACGGTCATTTGTACGTTGTCCGATCGGATGAAACTCGCAAAGATGGTAGTATATATCAGCACTTGTTCATAGTCTGCTTATCAACTTGCTGAAGGGGTCCTGAATGAATTAATAGATTTCTTTCAAAAGCTTTTTATTTTCTAAAACGGTTAGTGCTCAGATGTAGTAGTTGTGGCAGACAAACTAAACCGACAACAAAATTTGGTGGAAATTTAATCGTTCCGGCCCAGCAAACCAGGTAATAGTAAATTTCATCTGAAGCTATTCTGAAATAACCATTTATTCCTAACAAGCGCTGACTTAAAGCATAAAAAACATTATAACAACCTCTGATATTGATTCAACATTATTACAAACAAACTGTCTTGCTGATAGTCATTATTGAGGAGAGTCGTTGGAAGACTTCCGAAATATATGCAGACTACAACTGCAAACTGTCACAAGAATACATTTGCTAGATGTCTTATTAGGGATTGTTGCGATTTCCGGTTTTCTGTAACATCTATAAATAACTTCAGCCAAAAGGTCAAGGAAGTTTGGTGAGTTTTAGAGTCCTACTAAATTAATTGGTCCTCGAAAGTTGTTGATTATGATCTCTTATTACTACAAGGAACAAAGACAACTCAAACTCACGAGAATTCTGCGTGATAATCCTGACTATTGGGTAAACCATTAAAAAGGCATTGAAACACTGATCTGTAATCCAAAAAAATTTAGGACGCGTTTTCCTTCCCATAAATTTAAAATGTTCATTCTAAGCTGTTCATCATCAAAAATCCGTTTACCACATTACAAATCTTTATCTTACCGGCCCTAGTGGGTTAAGACCTGAGGGAGTTATTGGTAGTGGTACAAAAAGCTCTTGACTGAGTCGGAACGAAAGTAATAGACTTCTTGGTTAAAGTCTGAGAGATAATTGTAATCATTGTTTAGAAATTAGGTAATATGACACGAAATCAGTTTCAGTAGCTCAGTTACATTCATTCTTTATATTCCTCTAAATCATGTTCTCAGACTCATTACGTACCTATTTTTCTGAACTGACTCATCTCTTTTCAACAGTATTTGTCTAGTTCTCTCTGTCTTCCCTTAAACTAAGAGATTAAATTCACTTCATGTCTTTCTTTCTACGAACTAATTCTTTCTGTACTATGTCCTTATATGCAATCTTTCTTTTATATATTACTACCATTGACTTAGCCACTCCTATGAATCTGGTGTTCATCTTGCTGTGCTAATGCGGTATGGAAACTTGGACCGATGCATATATGTGCCTGGTCCTACGTTGTAGCTGACTGATTTGTCTAGTTTTTCATCACATTTGAGATTATTACTAACATTCCTTTGATTTTTATTAAGTTTCTTTCCTTTCATTGTATTAGTGCTGAGTGCAGCAACTTGAATGAGCCCAAATCCATACAATTTCATACATCTCTTACTGATTGAAACATATTTGTATTATCAGTTTCTCTAACTTCGGTATAGTGTTATTTTTCCCACTTTGTGCTTGTATACTGTCATGAAAACTTATTTTTTTATTTATTCAGCATACTAATGGAAACTTACGCAGTCAACAGTTCGATGGAATGTATTGTACACTTGGTAACCACTTTTCTGATAAGTCATTATTACTCCAATCAAACAGTAGGTTTACAACAACCAGTCATTTAATCCCATGTACTAATCCTGTGTGTGATTCCTTTCTGGATGCTCATATGTTACAAAGTTTGAGGTCACCTGGAATATCAAGCACTGATATCAAGCAGGGATCTGTTAATTCTGTGTTTAATCTCACACCAATTCCTTCATTTTTATCCGATGAAAGTAATGGTGATCTTGACCAGAGAAATAATTATTTTCAACAGTTGTCAAATTCTAAGTCCGATACAATTGACATAACTTCATTTCCTGCAGTAACCAGCTGCTTAAATCCTTTTTCTGCTGAACCATTATCATTAGTCACTAATTCAAACTGTCTCAAAAAATCTAGACGTCATGGTGCAGGGAATAAAAAGTCACGTATGAATACTTTAAATACTAATTCTGGATTACCAGTTGTTTGCGATAGTAGTACAGACATAATACCGACCCAAGGTATGTTTAATGATCCAAGTAAAAACGGTGTAAAACGACCACGTAACTTAACGGGACGTGGAAGCTCAGATGTATCTGGTAAAAATCCTTCTAGTGTTTATAATAGTGAGAATTATTCAACTGCAAATCAACAGGCATATCGCGGAGATTCTAATAAGTGTTTTACCGGTAAAGTTGAATCTTTGGTTATTGATGATGCGGATGATACTAGTGATCATTCAGAATCACTTAGCACAGGAACTGGTCATGCTGTTAGGGATAACACTCCGGTATCTCCTTTAGATGAAGTTGAACAGCATCATTTGAAATTGGAGAGAAAGCGTGCTCGTAATCGTGTTGCTGCACGTCGTTGTCGTGAACGTAAAATATCACTTATCAGATCGTTAGAAAATCAAGTAGCTGAACGTGATGCTCAAGTAAGAAATTTAGAGGATACACTAGCTCGGTATAGAGCTGAAGGTGAACAATTAAGATTACATGTAGAAATGCTAGCTAGTTCATATCCTAGTTTAAAAGCTGAGTTATATCGGTTCCCTTTTCTTTTCCAACCATCATCGTCGCATGCACAACCACCACCGCCTCAACAACAACAGCAACAACAAACTTCTAATCAAACTACTCCATTAAAATCGGAACTTCCAGATACATCATCGTCAAAGCATTTCACCTGAAAAGGTCGAGTAATTACAACTAAAAATACCACCGATATATTTTTGTAGTTTCTTTGACACAAAGTTGTAAGACAATTCCTTTTTCTCCTCTTGTTTGTTTTTGTTACGGCATTTTAATCCACAGGCCATATTTTCTCACTTTTCGTTTTTGTCATAATGATTTCTATATTTTTTAATTTTTTAAGGAAAAAAAACGCTCTTTTTAGGTCTTAATGATGAACGGACCATATGTATACATACATACATCATACTTTTCTATAAATCATTTCACATTTCCTTTCTGTCCTATGTTTATTATTTCCTAGTTGTCTTTGGAAAATTATGTGTAGTTTTCAGTCTGGTTTTTCGTCTGTTCTAACATATTTAATTCATTTGATCTTACGTTTATCATGCTATCTCATAATCGTGTAACAATTAAGAATGACCTACTTTACCGGTTATTATGTAATTATCATTATCTTCCATTCGGTTAAGACCATAATTGATATTCTGATGTTGATAAATGGAATCAGCGTCAATTTGTGCGCCTTTTTTTAAAGTTTTTTTTAAATTTTTATATTACCAATGTTACTATTAGTATTATTACATCGGACTGGGAAACGTTTTTCCTAACAGATTAAAATTGTTTCACAGGTATTATTTTCGAAAATTCAATTTTGATTACAAAATGTTCATTCTCCTTTTGCTTTGATGGTTTTCTACACTTGACAGTTTTTAATTGTTACATATTGTATTGCCTATCACTAAATAAGGTAAGTTGGCTGCTCATATTTTGTTTTCGTCAAAAGTTGGGAAGAAAAACATTGTCACTATGTATTAACTCCAGTTGTTGTATTTCTGATCATTTCTTTTATATATACACATTTTCTGTCTATATATGTTTTATGAAATATGCACATATATTGCCTTTATTATATAAGTCATTGTAAGCCAAATGCTATATATATATATATGGTAGCCTCTTTTATTTTCTGGAGGTTCCATCCAACCCGGTTCAAAGAATGCACACATTTCATATATATATACATTAATACCAACATAAATATAATAGATAAATCTGTAAATGTATATGAATGGTTGGTGTTCTTTTAGAATTTTCCATATGCCTTCTTTTTTTCCGTTTTTCTGACGTTGCTTCTGTTTAAATATGCAGTATTAATGATTAAACTATTTTATACATGTAACACTATTCTCTATATACTTACACATTATCCTGATTTTTATGAACTTTCTGATTCTGTTAATGGGGAACAATTTTATTCATGCTCCGTGGTTTGTAACTTATCCTATTGTACGTAAATACAAATGTAATGTGCCTTCTATGTTGCTGCAAAGAATATAATATTGTTGTATACGAATAATATCTATCTATATATATGATCGGTATATTGTGAAATTTAGGCAACATGTTATTTACGTGTATGGCTATTGTCATCATGCATTTATTCTATCAAAAGGATAATTAAACTTCTTATTCATCTACAGGCAGGTACATTATCTTTTTAAAATTATTTTTAATGTAATGCTCATTCTTTCTACGTAATTTCCCCCGCCATCCATAGCGCCGTTTATATATAGTTTTCATCTATTCGACCATTTCACCATCCTCTTTATTACTAACTGGTTCTAATTGAATAACAAGTGATTATCTGTTATCCTTTGAAATAGTCTTTTGTTTTGGGCTGAAGAAGAGGACAAAGTACATGGTACACTTTTTTCATATATAATTCCTATTCATTATTGTTGTTTGGACCATGGAATATGTAGGCAGTTTTTGCGACCATTCTTTTTTTCTAATGTTATCTATCTACGGTATATTTTTCACGTCATCTCATCTGTGTTATTACGATTGCTTTCTCCTCATATTGATGATGATGATGATATCTTCAATACCAGCAAGGAAAAATGAATTAGTCAGTTAATTAAAAAAAAAAGACAAACATAAAATGTAAATATTAAGTTTATAATTCTTCATTTTAATAACACTATTACAAATACTAGTGCTACTATAATTATTATTCTTAACTTTTTTCATAACACAGTTTTCGTTTAATAAATTTTGATAGTCAAACCTAAATAAAAATTAATTACATTCTTGCGTTGTTTTGAAGATTTTAATCCCTCGGTTGAGGTAGTTACTTGGATCTTTTTCGTAAAAGAGATTTATTAAACCCCCAATTCTGATCCATAATTAGTTCGATCAAACAGCTCACTTAATATTCTATATAGCACACTTCATTATCAAATAATAAAGTCGCTCCTAAACATTACTCTTATATCTAGAGCTCAGATTCTTATATACGGCGTACAACTTGAGCACTCGAACGTTAGAACCTTTCAAGTTGCAAATTTGAAGATAAAAGACAAGTGAAAGGAATGCTGTTCCAATCAGTGTCAAATATGGTAAATTCAGGTATTTATAGTTTTCAGTAAAAACGAAATCATCATTATAGTCATTCAATCCACATACAAGGGATTTGAGCGTTCGTCCAATGGGAAGGCTACGCGCAGAAATTCTGGAATATTCTTCCAAAAGATGATCGGATGGAGTATCTTCGGCTCTTTTTCAGCTTCCTCGAGTTCACTCGTGCTCTTTCCTCGTATAAATGATGATGATGGACTACGAATGCATCTGCACAAATGAGGAAAATCTCTGACCCAAAGAAGAATATGTTATTTGTATTCCCGCTAAAATTAGTTAGTGTTTCATAGGTTATTTGTCTCAAACATTGTTACTCGGAAATAGAGTTACCTTGTTCTTTGCAAGATCAGTTGCTGTACAACGCACTTTTCTGAGATAAATAAATATTTCTTTCTATCCCAACTACCTAGGTCTTCCATCAAAACATATATATTGTTTCTCTTCTATTCTGGATTACACATAGGATTTATTTCCTTTTAGTGCCTGGATTTTGTATTCCACACAATACGATTAAGTTGTCAAATATTTCTCCTGTCCTTCCAACAGGACTTAGTTGGAAAAAGTCAAGATCGGTTTGTCTTAGAAGTTAAGCATATAAAATAAGTTTCAGTTTTTGCGGAATTTAACTTTGTTAGACCTGCTTGCAATGAGAAAATCTACTCAATTAATATCTCTAGTTAAACCATGTGACTAATTAAATGAATTTCCACTTTTCACGTGCGTTGTGCTTTATTTTATGGTAAGATTTGAAAATTAAACTTAACATTCTTTATTGCTTGTCATATAATTCCTGACAGGTTTTTAAGTCAGAGGTCTTAAGTTTTGTAAGATGTCACTCACAGTTCTAATTCCTTAGTAATAACCGGAATGCATAAATTATCAATCGATTAAGGCGATTCGATAAAAATCGTAGATTAGTTGGATATAACCTCGTTTAAGACTTGTAAAACCTGAATTGAAATTCGAAATTACTATCCACACAAAAGTCTTGGTTTTTTAACATTGAAAATGCATGTTTAGTAATCACTTATCTGATTACTTTCATCGAGTTTTCACTACTAACAGATTACTTGGTAATACTTATCATAGCAGATGATAATTTTAGTTTCAGCTCCAAACACTGACCAATGGTCTGTCTATCAGTGCACTGCAAGAGACCGAGTTAATGGGTTACTGTTTTGTTTCGAAATTTGAGAATTATTTCTTCGATAACTACATATTAATCTTTTGAATGAACCCAGACCAATTGAAACAGAATAATATTAATTCATTCCATGTCATGGTTTCTCATCAGTCGCTTACATCCATACATATATTGAAATGTAACACTGCGGTATGATGTAATATGAAGGAATCGACATTGATGACGGAAGGAATTAGAGTAACGAAGATTATCAATATTAGTTATATACACATTTTGACTGCGCTGTTAGACTATTCGAAGGACAGTTTGGGAGGAACTTGCTTTCATTAAAATCCATCTAAGTGAAAATGCATACCCACCGAAATTCATTGAGTATCCCGAAACCAACGTACGTGTTAAATAAGTCGCGGTATATCCAATAAACTGACTATCTTGCACAGTCAAGTGTAGATTGCTTAAACTTATAGTTTTCTCGGATGGATTTAATGTGCGTGATTAAATGTAAACAGACATAATAATAGTAGAAATAACATGTTTAGATTAGCATTTTTATTATTTACAAGGGCACAATAAACCAACTGAAACGTTTTTAACTAAAAGCCATGCATGTTACACTGTTTACAATCGTTGAATGAAGAGTTCACTTACCACGCGACTCAAATTTGATAGATTCTAGGATTTCGTCACATGAGAAATAACATGTAAAATGTATGTTTATATGAAAATGTTTCGTAAGAATATAATGCAAATTAAGAGACTTAGATATTATGTACCAGTCTGGTTGCTGATGTGGTCGAACTTTATATTCGTATATGTCGATCGCACTATCCTAATGTTAGATGTAAACTAATCAACAGCTGGACAAATCGATAAATATGAAATTACAGTTTTCATGTTCTACATGGTTCCCCCCACGCATAGGGCAATTTGGAATCCCTTTCTATTACTACTGTAGTTGACAAGAAAACCAGCCCGACAGTCGGATGTATTTACCACACAATTACAGAGCATCTCCCCAAAATCTAAGAACCATTTCAGTCAGTCAGTCAGCTGCAACGTAGGACCAGGAACGTATATGCATCGGTCCAAGTTGCCATACCGCATTAGCACAACAAGATGAACACCGGATTCATAGGAGTAGTTAATTCAGTGGTGGTAATATATAGAAGAAAGATTGTGTATAAGGAGATAGTAAAGGAAGAAAGAATTAGTTCCTAGAACCATTTAGTAAATAGTTAATTTGCAAAATATCAATCCATCGTCTCAAATTTGACTGTTCCTTTGCAAATATTAGTCCATTGTCTCAGATTTCATTGTTCATGTGTTTTCATACCAATTGTGTTCCATTTCCTTATCGATCTGTGAAATACATTCTATGACTGACCACCGTTATATACTACTTATGGATATAAGTAACCCACACTACTACTGGGAGAAAACCAAGTACGTTCGAACTAGTTTCATGAATTATTTGACGGTCGGACTAAGCTATGTAAATATGGGCAGATCATTATATTAGTGTCCGATTATCGGAACTAAATGTTGGGTGACATTGGTCGAAATAATTTTGTCTTCCCTCATAAACCGAGCTTCGAATTCTGAGACTTTCTCTTATGTTTAATCGTCTCTATTACAGCTGATTCTGTTGCTTGTTCTACTTTTCTGATATTTGTCTTGATAATTTCATCTGGTTCTGCTGATGGGGATGATGACGACAGACATTTGCTCCAGGTTTTGTTTTGCATATGACTGAGTTACTTATCTCTATTACTCTAAGATGACAATAACTAACAGCTTTGGTAGAACAAATAGTAGAACAGTTCCGTGACCATTTCATTATGGTATAGCTATTCGAACGATTAAATATTTTGAAATTCTTTTAGGAAATAATCAATACTCATTGTATAGACCGTTACCATATTCTAACCACCTGAATGATCCAAATTCGTATTATTATTTGTGTTATTTAATTCTTTCATCAATTTCCTTGATAAATTATACAAGCCTATAACGAAAATGGAATTTAGCTCTATTGAAATACATTGTTTCCTCGGTAAACTGAGACTTACTTGTTCTTATAGAGCCTGATTTTATTGGGTTAATACTTAACATTCATACTTTTATTCTCTATTTAAGGAATGAAGTGAACTCTAATAAAGCATTATGACATAAATCTATCAGATAATGCTTCAAGAACTGCTTAAATCATTAGATATCAGTTTCACTATACTATTTTTACCGTGGTCCCAAGTTTTAAAGTCAATAAAACTAGGATATGATACAACTGTGTGCTGTTGAGGTATTGTCATGCTATTTTTAAACAACCTATTTCCAACTGATTCAGCTACTACAACTTAAGTAGTATTTATGATATTTATTAAGTAACAATTTATAAGGATTTTTAAAGTCAGAATAAATCTGTGAATTTCGGATACCTAATTGATAGTTTAATTCATAAAAATATTCTTTCCATTTTCTGCTCACCTACGCTTATAAAACTTATTTCCTTGTGTTGCATGAGCTATTTTGTAATTATTTTGGTAAAACCCTAGTTTTACTCATGAGTAGTTTATATTATTCAATAAAATGTTTTCTATAAACCTAGAATATAGTGTTTTAAGATCACATGATTAAAGCAAATAGATGATCTAGTATTTCTAGGTGAAAGGGATCATTGTTGTGAAAAATGATTAATTCCATGGCTGTTTTTACAAAACGTTTAGACATTTAGTTCATTGTTGTATACAAACATATAAAAACGCAATAAATAGTTTCATTTTCTTGACAACTTACCTCATCAACTGCAGTATTTTTTGTGTTATTATTAACTGAATCATAATCGCTGATTCCATTAGTCGTTAAGTGCACTCGTTTTTACTTTTTAAATGTAAACCTTGGAACTGGAACCAAGTTTATCTGTTACATAAGGTGCGTGTTTGTAAATGAAATAATCTTTGAAAAGTATATTTTTGAGACTGTTTTCAAATGCATCTATTTAATTCGTCAATATATTTTTACCAAAAAAATAAAATTGTTTCTCCGGCTTCCGTTATTATTCTCATTGTTCAAAATAGGCCATTTTAAATGGAATACTGTTTTAGTCATAAAAACAAAGTTTTCATATGGTTTTTCATTTTTGGCTTACAGTTATAAGAATATACTGTTAATTTATTAATGACAGTTAAAATTATATATAAGATCCCTCTTATCGTGAAAGAAAGAAACTATATTTAAAATGAGCTAATCGGTCGATTTTCTGTTGGATCAGTCAGGTGATATCAGCCTGATATTCGTGCATTCATTAAGTGGTGATAGAATTTTTTCTCAAATAAGGATATGCATGATTGAATAATTCACATTCCAGTAATTACCCTAACTCAACTTTTGGACTTGATTGTAATATATCGAAGTAAAAATTCATAAGCATCTCGATTAAAATCTCATTTATGAGCAATATTCTCCTTTCTTGTTTATATTTAGGTAATTTATTCTATTTTAAAACTTTTCTCAAGATAAACGTCTTTCCATT